CCCACAACTGGATTAAAACGGGCCATGACTCTGGGTAGGGCTGTACCATGGGCCACTTGGGTTAGTATGGGTTAGTCATTGTAGAGAGCACAGTGGACAATTGGTTAAAATCACAGGATCCTTCAAAAAAAAATTTACATTATCCTTCTTCGATTAAATTCTAATTCTCTCTTCCAAAATTTTTTCCATTTTTCATTATTTATTTTTAAGTAAAAATTCCTTTGCACTCATGTATGTTTGGTAATCTTTTTACAATTGAACAATTGAATATGTCTGTTATACGATACAACGAGCGCGAGAAAAAAAATTTCGACTAAAGAATGATAAGAATGATGATGATAATGAAATGTAAATTACAAAGTCAATAAGATATCACAATAGAATATGCCAAATGAATTTCATGGTTGAAATTTTTATTTTTTATTTTATTTAAAACCAAAATAATTGTGAAAGTCAGTATGAACATTATCAAACCAATGTCGTCATCCCTTCTCTGGCGGGTGAACTTTCTGAAGTGATCATCGAAAATATGCGCCCATCTCTTGATGGCCCATTCCAGCTTCAACCTTCTTTGGGACCAAGCTATGCAGGCTTCGTTCCTGTATTAAGGGGCGGCTGAATATAATTTGAGATTTTAGGTGAAAAACATAAAATAGTCTTTTAATAGAGTCTACTCATATATTCATGTTAATAATATACTCATTATTTATTTTGCGATTTTTAAGTGTAGTACTAAAAAAAATTTCAATCTATAGTACTATTATTAGCTAATTGACTATGTACGTTGTAGAAGACATATTCAACAATATAAATAAAAATGATTACAACTCATAAACAAAATAAATAATTTTATGATAACAAAATTTAATAAAACTATAAACTAATTGAAGTTATAGAACAATAGAAACTGATTTCAAAAAATTTGGTCCAATACTCCACAAATTCTTTAATAGAATAAAAAGTTTATTCAAAGTCTTGTGACGGAGTGAGGTTGTAAATTGTAGGAGTGGAGAAGATGAAAATAATAATAATAAAATTATAATGAGAGGAGATAAAATATGTAAGAAATAAAAAAAAGAAAAAAAGAAAAAATAAATTAAAGTTAATAGGTGTTTTAAAAAATATATAGAAAGTTTCACAAGTCCCACCACAATGAATAATATTTATGGTTGGTGTAATGATAACGAGGAGTAATATATATGTATATATGTGTATACACTCATGTAATAAGGATGAGAGAGAGTAAAAGAAAAAAGTAATATAATTATCGAAATATTTTGGGCCTAATATTAAATTTCTCTATTGATTGAGGTTTAATAATAGAAGAAAATAAAATTTTTAGATAACTTATAATATATAAGGAAACAATTTTGGGAATCCTAAAAAAAGAAAGAAGAAGGTGATAAATAATAGAAATCTTTTAGATCACTCTCAAATCTCGATCTCTATTTGTCGATGTTTAATAATGAACATAATTATTTTTTAATAGTTATAATATATAAATAAATGAAATATTATGAGGCATTTTTATTGGTCGGGCCTTAGACGACCGCCTAACTTGTCTAAGGCTTAGCCGCCCCTGCCTGTATTGAGTGAGTGGGCATGGACATGTCAAAGTTCTCAGGGAATAAAACCATGTAGCCGGTAGGTTTTTTTTTTTTTTTTTTTTTTAACACAGGATAGGAAAAAATTAACATATAGGTGAAGAAAATGTTGGGATGGAAAGGATTTTTATTCGGTTCTGAGTATACATATCAAATCTAGATGTACTTTTTAAAATTTATTAAGAACAATTTTTATTATTAATTGAGTAAATATAGTAATGCTACGATATACTCCACGCACTTAATATCTACTTGTGGTGGGGATCTAAGTCACATGAAGTAAGAAAAGTAACGAGAGCAAGGTGCCAGCACCCGTTGTAAAGTATTGTGTGCAAGGTAGCCTTAGGCATTAGGCAGTTGCCTAAGGCTTCAGCCAATAATAAGAAGGCCCTATAATTTTTTATTTCTGTATATATTATAACTTTCTTAAAACAATTATAGTATTTTATTTAATTATTAAACTTCTACGTATAGAGATATTTGACACTTGACCTAAAAGATTTTTATTCTTTATTTTTTTTGCGGGCCCCCCATTTTTTTTTTCTTTATACATTATAACCTACCTAAATATCTTATTTCCTTATATCATTAAATCTCAACAAATACAAAATTTAATAATGTGCGCAAAATATTTTTATCTTTGTATTATCTTCTTTTCGGGGTTTTTTTTTTTTTCCTCGTTACATCAGCATATATATTATACATACATTAAAATTAAATATTAAATATATATTTAAGTGAAAATTGGTGAAACTTTTTATATTTTTCTAAGAATCCTATTAATTTTTATTCTCTCTTTTTTATTTTTTATTCCTCACATATTTTTTCTCCTCTCTCATTATAAATATATATATTTTTTCATCTTCTCCACAATTACAATTTACAATCTCACAATCTTACTCCAGAAGAAAATTTTGAATATACTTATATTCTATTAAAGAATTTATTGAAGCATTAGACCAAATTATTCAAAATCAGTTTTTATTATTCTATAACTTAAATTAGTTTATAGTTTTATTAATTTTTGTTATCAGAAAATTATATATTTTGTTTATAATTTTTATTTATATTGTTAAATATGACTAGCCAATTAATTAATGATAGAACTAGGGTTTAGAAAATCTTTAATAAATTAAAAATTACTAAACAAATAATTAATTGACATAAATATATAAATAGATTTAATTAAAAGGTCACTTTATTTTTTTTCACCTAAACTCGTATTATATTGAGCCGTCCTGATTGTGTGACAAGGATAAGTTTACCCCAATTCAATCTTATCCATGAATACATGATAGTGGTTCAATTTTATCCCAATTCAATCTTATCCATGAATACTTGATGCTTGAGTCTTCTTACCTCAGCTGGTTCAACTTCCTATGAAATTCATAAACAAACAGCACTTATATTGTTGAGCCTTGCCTCACCTGGGTTCATCTTCCCGATGGGATAGTCCATAAAACTGGCTCAGGAGGGAAGGGAGAGGTTAGGGTCTTTACAGTACTTCAGATTTACAATTTCCATCATGGCCGTCTGATCTCACTCACTGACTTCCCAAAACGAACAAATTTTGCCTCCACAGAGGAACAAAAAACCATGAGTTTTGCATGTATTCCACGCGTCTAATTCTTTGCTTGCATGTATTCCATTTGGCATGCATGCACTCTCTCTCTTTTCGGGTCCTTTGCTTTCATGTCTTCCACGTGTACGGTACATAGAAGTCGTAAGAAATAGAAGATGGATTATATAAAGAATAATAATAATTAGTTTTTTTAATTTTTTTATTTAAATTCGTAAAAAAGTGAAATGCAATTAAAAAAGAGCCCATAAGCTTATGGACTACATAAAACCCAGCCCAGTGGCCCGACAAAATAGAAGAGGAAACAAGATAACCTGGACCAGTACTTTAACCAAGCAAAGAGGCCCAAAAGTAAATGAATTTGGGTTAACCTAATTGAATTTCCATTTCCATGCTTATACCTGTATATTGGTTGTCTATTGGGTGAATCCTGCCCATGGGCCCACAACTGGATTAAAACGGCCCATGACTACACGGGTTAGTATGGTACATAAAATACAAGGAATTAGCAGTCATTGTAGAGAGCACAGCGGACAAATGGTTAAAATCACAGGATCCTTTCAAAAAAAAAAAAAAAAAATTGCGTTATCCTTCTTCAATTAAATTCTAATTTTCTCTTCCGAATTTTTTTTTTTCTTTTCCATTTTTCATTATTTATTTTTCTTTAAAAATTCCTTTGCACTCATGTATGACATGGTAATCTTCTTTTTATTTTCATTTATTTTTTCTCTTTTTATTTATTTATTTATTTATTGCATTAAATTTATTTATGCAATTTTTTGAACTTGAGTTTCTAAATTTTTATTTACTGCATCTTCTTGCGAATAATGGCATATTATTGAATCTTGATAAATGCACTTTTATTTTCAGTTTTCCGTCTTGCACACACTCACATGGTCCTAAGAAAATTTCTTAAATACTTGACCTAATAAATTTCTGGCTCTGTCACTGCTCCTACTAAACTAGGAAAATGATATAATTGTCATTTTTTTTTTGTTCCTCGTATAAATGGTAAAAGGATTGTTCCTTCTCCCTACATTGTTGAAAAAAGAAGAAGTGATTTTACAATTCACATGGAGATGGAGCCCAAACCCTGACAAGCATTGACACAGATATCTGTTTGGATCATATTTGCCCATGAAAGAATGCATGGCATTGGTAAGATGTTTAGCCTACATATGGGTCCCCCAATCAGCATATACACTACCAATTGTCCACTTATTTTCATCATTTTAGATTCCTAAAAGTTGTACTCCCTCCATCCCACTTTAAATGTAGTTTTCGGGAATCGATTGTGAGTCACGGTTTCTGAATGCGACATTTAAAGTGATGTTTGTGAGTCATGGTTTTCGAAGGCGACATTTAAAGTGGGATGGAGAGAGTATATATTACGATTTTCAAAACGCGTCTATATAGTTAAGAGACGTCTACATATATTCTGAGGCGATGCGAGAAGTCACAAAAACCATGTCAACTGTTTATATGTTAGTCCTATCAGCACTCAATTCACATTATACTAGTTTGTTGTCTTGCTTTTGTTTGTTGCCAGATTGGAAGCAGAAAAGATGGATCTTTGTAGCAATGTTGGGATGCAAATCCAAAACAACTTTTGCTAGGATCATTCTGGCCATCACTTGTTCTTCTCATCTTTTTCTACTTCCTTGAGTTATTATTTGCATGATTGATAATGGGGTAAAGGCTTTCTTGTCTTCCATGTCTGGTCACTTAGCCCCCACTTCCACTAGCATTTCTGATGTCAAGTTTAGTTTTTTTTCCCGGCAACGCATGGTATATATATGTGTGTATGTGTGTGTATATAATGTAGGTCTCTACTTAATAAAAAAACTCTATACATGGAGTCAAATGCATCAGGGTACCTTCTAAACCATGCAACTCTTCACTCAGTTTATTATGAAGCCAAGGAGGATGATGGTCTAATTGACTTGGGCCTTAGTCTTAGAACTCAGCAGCCTGAAGCATATCATACATCTGGAAAAGGTACTCTTTTTTAATTATATGGCTTTTTTTTTTTCTTTTCTTTTTTTAATTTTTTTTTTTATTACATATAATGCAACATTCTGAACCTTATTGAATCTTATATATAATGATGGAAAATTCATGATTTGGGAATGTATTGTACTTGGAATAATAAAGGACTCATCCAGTAATTGAAAGTTCCAAAAAAAAAAAAAACAAAAAAGGTACTGGAGGGATAAGTTAGTTAGTGCCAAACTTGGTAGAATTTGACTGTGATTTTGGGGGAAATTAAGTACACTAAAGTAGTTGAGGTAATCAATAGGTCATTAGCCCAAATGGTCAGATCTCTCATCGATTCCTCCCTAAAGGACAAGGATTCTCTGCTTACAATAATCAAGGGTTGTGATTGAAATCACGGCCTTGATTGTCGTACAACACTAAATTCTAACTCCCTCCCCAAATGGGTGATTAAGTATTGTAGGTGAGTGCACCTTTGTGACCAGAATTTCTGTGGTCAACAATCAAGGGTTGTGATCGAAGTCACAGTCCTTGATTGTTGTACAACTCCCTCCCCAAATGGGAGATTAAGTATTCGAGCCTGCTAAGGGTAATATTGTAGGTGAGTGCACATTTGTGATCAGGATCTCTGTTGTACGGCAATCAAGGGTTGTGATCGAAATTACAGCCCTTGATTGTTGTACAACACTTAATCCCAACTTCCTCCCCAAATGGGAGATTAAGTATTCGAACATGTTAAGGGTAATATTGTAAGTAAGTGAACCTTTGTGATCAGGATCTTTGTTATACGACAATCAAGGGATGTGATCAAAATCACAGCCCTTGATTCTTGTACAACACTTGATCCCAACACCCTCCCCAAATGGAAGATTAAGTATTCAAGCATTCTTTTTGTTTGAATTTTTGAAAATAAAAAATAAAATAAGTAGTAGTTAGAAATGTGCTAATGAAATCTGGCATTTGAATTGGTGTAACCTAGATGATTATGGTGACATGATAGACTGGAACCAGTTCAACCCACAGCTGAAAAAGGCAAACATGGAATATCCAAAGAGTCTAGCAGAGGATTGTGATGATGAAACAGAGGGTGTGCAAAGCAAAGAGCGCTGGGCTTATGTGAAGGTTAACATGGATGGGGTCATTATTGGAAGGAAAATTTGTATGCTTGATCATATGGGTTACTCAAGCCTTGCACTAAAACTTGAGGATATGTTTGGTGGGTGGTAAAATCTTCATGAGCTTCTGATTTTTCTTTTATAAGTTGTTGACATAATTTAATGTTAATTCTTCTTTAGGCAAACAGTCCAAATCTGGTTTGAGGCTGTTCCAGGCTGGGTCAGAATTTTCTCTGTTTTACAAGGACAGAGATGACAATTGGAGGACAGTTGGTGATATCCCATGGAAGTAAGTTTTTTTATTATAATTATATATGCTAAAGTTTTATGAATTGTCATTCATACGTTGTAAGACTTATGTTACATCACACTTCAAAAGTAGCGAAATATTAACCCATATTATTCGGATATGAGCGTGGGATATGCGTTCGGACACTTTTAATTAGATATGTACAAAAAAGGTGCAAGGGTAAATCCAGATACTGCCAATGAGTGGATTGATATTTCTTTGGGTGGACTAATAGTAGTAATAAATTTTTATTTTTTGGGCTTGGCTAAAATTAGTTATAGTAAATTTTTTTTTTTTGTTTGGAGCCCATCCCTAGATCCGCCAGTAAAAAAACTTATCCAATAATTCAATTTTATTATATTTTACTTTAAAATGAGTTAAATGTCTATATTGAACATTTTATTACATAAAAATATTACTTCATTCTAAAAAATAATAAAATAATTAATAAAATGAATATTTAACCGTGTCCATGTATTATTCTGTTTGGAGATTTGACATGTCCGACACATGAATTCATACATGTGTCCGTACACGTACCCAAATCTATGTAAAATAGGTTGTCACCTAATTGCAAATATCTCACTCACGTTAACCTAATATCAAAGACTCTTACCTTACATTTTAGAGGTCAAAAGTTCGAATTCCCTTGAATCAAAAGTTCAAAAATGGTCCAATGCATATGGGACCGGACAGTGCATTTGCCCAATAGTGGTCATGGGATGTTGAAGAGGCCTGACACCATCGTCATTGAATATATATATATTAATTTTTTGGCTGAACTCAATGTGTTTGCTAATTGTGTTTTTTAATTACCTGAACAGGGAATTTGTAGATTGTGTGAAGCGCATTAGGATTGTGCGTAAAGAATGAAGCTCTTGCTCTCTCTTTATTGGCATTTGCAGTCTCTCACTCTCATTTGGTCTTATTAGTGTTTTTATGCCAAAAAAAAAAAAATTGGAAATGAAAATGGCAGCTCTTACATTTTTGACATGTCAAGTGGACACAGATCTGTTTGGTAACCAAGGCTCTAATTTTTTCAGCTACCACAGCGTGCAGATAAGATTATTCTTTATTATTTGTAATATAGAAGATCCAAATTATAATCGAAATCAAGAAATTGACAGAAATATACATACGCGCCACACACAAAATAAAAATTTACGTGTTTCACCGTAAATTCTACATTCAAACATGTTTAGCCGCCAACACCTCTCTTTCCCTTTCTCTAAACTATATTTTGAATATTTTCTCGTAAAAAACCACAAATTTTAAAACCACCATAATTCCAAAATTGAATCCACGACTCTCAAGTCAATGTTTGGGATTTATGACCTGGGCGAATACAAAATTCCGGCCATAATTTCACAAAACCTCAAAAAGATATTTAAAAGCAAAATTGGTCGCTCCATTAATTATGATGGACCACAGTGTTTAAATTGCAAAGATGGTATATAGCATTTGTAAATCTTTTGCTACATAAAAGTTAAAACAAGACATTTTTGGAGCCATAAAATACATTAAAATAGTGGTGGCTAATAAAAAAAGAAAAAGAAAATTTCTAAGTTAGTTCAAGCATGAATGGCGGCAATTTATGACACAAAAGGAGTAGAAATTACAGTGCTGTATTGAATTGACTAAACGACATTCCGACAAGCAGATCTATTAAAAGTCAAATTACACATGTATTGAATCTATTGATGGCCTATCAGAGACACGAACAGTTCAAATTCTAATCGCTTTGTGGAGTATATATATATATATACATACTAATAAGGTTAAAACCTTAAATACGTTTCCACTTGGTTCCGTACGAGTTCTATAATTCTAGCTTTTCAATCACAACCAGTCTTGTGATGTCTGGTTGTGAGTTGGCTATATTCTATCTTTTTTTAAATTTTTTTAATACTATCCTTGTTAGCCATAGATTTGGAACGATAATAAAGTTATTTAACTTATTATCTTTAAAAGTCTTGACAACTGGTGACAGAGTACAGATAACAGGCTAGTGTTTAAATTCAAAGTCACGTCATTAATACCAAATTAGGAGAAAGTCATGGTCACGAGAGAGCACATTCTATTATGACTTCCACCTTCGCAATTATTTGTTATTTGAATTTGTAATTAACAGATAAATTTTCAGTTATTTATTTTAATTTCATAATATAAATAACATTTTAAGTCAAGAATTTACAAAATTAGAAGAGAATTGAACCCATACTAAAATGCTAGATACAAGCATCTAAAGGGAATATTTAATGATTATGTTAACGTCTCCGTTACTTCATATTACATATTACCTTTTTCCCAATTTGAATATCGTTTTGAAAAATTGTGACTCACAATGAGTCACAATTTTAAAAGACGATATTTAAATTGGGACAAAGAATGTATATTTTAAGTATGTTTATGTTGAAATATCAAAAAATAACGTAATGCCTTCTTACTAAATATCACTAAAATATGAGTCACAATTTTCAAAGACGACATCTAAATTGAAACAGACGAAATATATTTTAAGCATGCTCATATTAAAATGTCAAGAAATAAGCTAATGCTTTCTTACTGGATATCACCAAAATGTTACCATAAAATACAAATTCGATGCAATCCCATGGGCTTTTAATACAAAATTGATGGGAAATCACTCAAATCAGTCTGAGTCATATAGTTAAATCAGAAAAGTACACAATAGTAAAAAAAAAAATTTAAAAAGTACAGAGTGATATGAAGGACCCAGTGGAGGACGGTTGTTATATATTCTGAACTCTTAATTCAACTTTGCTTCAAATTTTTTGCAAAGTATTTTGACATTTTTACACTTATTTTGTAACTCTAATTATATAACAGTATCAGGGAGGGCGATTGTTATTCACTCAAAACTCTATACTTACATTTTGCTCATTATCATAATGAAATTCATGTGACTTACCTGTTTTTGTTTGTGTTATTATGTGCTTCAACGTGTCCAACCAGTGTCCAACCAGTTCCGTTACCGAACCACTATGCACCTCAAGTGGTAATCTCACTCTTTTATGTGCTTCCACGCGCAACACCGATAATCTCACGCCTCAACGTGTGAAATCTTCACAACTCCGTCATTGCATGTCGCGCGCCATCAACAGTCATGGGCTTCCCAAAGCACAATCAACAAATTCGTCACCTATACGCCTTCGCGCTTCAATGTGTCTCGAGTGGTTTTCACGTTTCACCACCTCTTTTATGATTTGTCTCCAAACTCAAATTAGTTTCATGCTCACTTGATTTTGAGGGACCGCTAGATTATAAAAATACTATAATATTCCTTATAAACAAATTAGGGTTTACACACCTACAATATAATATTTTTTCTATTCCTTTATTTTCTACACCCACATGTGGTCATTTCATCTGTGATTCTTCACATGATCATCTATGATCTTTCACACGTCCACCATATGCTAATAGGTTAAACAGATGCAAAGAAACAACAAACAAATAATTATTTCAATAAATAAGAAAAACAACAAGCAGACAAAAGGTCTACAATAAGAGCAAGAAGAAGAAGACAACCTTCCAGTACACATATATATAACAACAGCCAACGCACCACACAAACAATTTCAATCTCCCACTCTTACAGCAGACCTACCTTTGCCTAGCACATCTACAATGAGAAACTATAGGATCCTACATTGAATGAAGTCAAGAACTCTATCTTCACCAAACTATTATGCAATTCTTTTTCCCTTGGACTGCTTCACCATTGTCATATTTTCACCGAAATTCGAATTAAACCATCTTCTCAAGACCCCAAATCAGTTTGACAGCAACTTAAAGCTTCATTCATAATCTGAATTTTAGAAACCAGGTAGCAATTTTCATTCATCTGATGTAGCCAATCTCTCCAAAACGTCGGAGACATGCCTCATTGTCGGTCTCCTCTCAGGGCTGGTCTGTATGCATGCCATTGCAATCTTCAAAACTGCAATCATCTCCTCTTCTTTATCAGCATCTTGAGCTAAATATGGATCCAAGACATCAGAAAGTGGCTTTTTTTCTTCAATGCAAAGCTGAAGCCAATGAACGATATCCATTTCCGAGGCACCCACTTGGACTATTGGCATTCTTCCGGTAATCATTTCGAGTAAGATCACCCCATACGAGTAAACGTCCCATTTCTGTGATGGCTTCACCACTTTCAGTGCCTCGGGAGCTTGGTAATAGGATCCCAAGTTTGCGGCCGAATTCGCTGTCATAGCTTCTGATGCATTGCTTTGTTGCCTCTGGTGCTGTTTCTCAGCGGCAATCCGATTGGATTGCAGGGTTGGGGTTCCTCCGGCTATATTGGCAAGTCGCCCAAGTCCAAAATCAGAGATATGAGGCTCCAAATTCGGTCCAAGCAATACATTATTCGGCTTAAGGTCTCCATGGACATATTTTTTGGGGCTATATTCATGTAGATAAACCAACCCTTTTGCTGTCCCTTTCATTATTTTCAACCGAATAGACCATGATGGTGGAGAAAAAGATACAATTCCAGCCTTTCCTAATGACATTAATATTCACAACAATCAAAATTAGAACAATGCCTATACAAAATCACGTAACAAAAATAACTACATTTTACCAAAAAAACAAATCACAATATTACAGGCAAGGGGTTTGGTGAGACTTACCATGAATTGCAACCGCAAGGTTTCCGTTAGGTATGTAATCATAGATGAGCAGCTTCTCATCAACAGACCAATAGTAGGCTCTGAGGTTCACAATATTAGGATGCCTTAATTTCCCAATTGCTTCTACTTCTGTCTGAAATTCTTTAAACCTTTGCGAACCTCCTTCCCCTAATCTTCTCACAGCCAAGGTAAGGCCGTCTTCAAGCACAACTTTGTACACAATCCCAATCCCACTCTTTCCGAGAACAAAAGCAGATGCCTTCAGAAGCTCATCTAGATCAAATGCCACCTGTGCATCAAGTGGCACAAGATCATATTGCTCTACATTTTCTGATAAAGTCTCGGAGTCATCTTTTCTAAAGCACAAACACTCCTTCCTTCCCTTCCCTCCCTTCGCGAAAACATAACCGTTCTCGTCCTTTCTACTACCAGCGCAAAACCTCGAGTAACAATACGAGAACAACAACCCGATAAGACAAATTCCAATCACATCACACACAACAATTACGGCTATATCGGTTTTGCTTAGTCCTCTTCCATTCCCATGCCCGGCATTATCACCAGCATTTGGCGGGTAGTTACTCGGCAAGTAAGGAATTGAGGAAGGTGAACTAGCACCAGGAGTATCAGGTGGACATGGGTTCTTCAATGGGGGGCCACAAAGGCCAGTATTTCCAATAAAAGCTGTTGGTCCTCTATTCATTAGAGCACCATTTTGTGGTATTGCCCCACTCAATTTGTTGTACGTGAGATCAATATAAACCTTCTCAGGAAGGTTTCCAAGGCTAGCTGGGATTGAGCCACTAAACAAATTGTGAGACAAATCAACTGTTCCTTGCAAATTAGACAAATTTCCCAGGTCATTAGGGATCGAACCAGCGAATTTATTGAACGAAAGATCGAGTTTCTCCAGAGAAACCAAATTAGCCCCAAACCCATCAGGCAGAGAACCAGTGAAATTGTTTTGACTGAGATCAAGTGTTCTTAATCTCTTGCACTGAATTAAAGAACTAGGTAGTGACCCATTGAAGAAATTTTGTGATAAATCTAAGTTTTGAAGATAATTAAGCTTCCCAATCTCAGATGGTATAGACCCAGACAATGAATTTCCATAAAGAACTAAACTTTGTAGCCCCTGAGCTTGAAAGAGCTGAACAGGTAAGCTTCCAAAGAACTTATTGTTCCTTAAATTTACATGCCTAAGCTCAGATAGAGATCCAAGAGCAGAAGATAGATTCCCAAAAAGTTTCTTCTTTGGAATACTAAGAGACACAACTCTTTGTTCTATGCATGTAATACCATTCCAAGAACAAGGGTTTTCATCAGAATAGTTCCAATTGTTCAATGACCTTTGTGGGTCTTCTTTAATGGACTGTTTGAATGAAAGAAGAGCAAAACCTTCATCATTCAAACAACCCACAAGAGCATGAGAGTTTAAATGAACTAAAATGAACAAAATCAAAGCTAACATCTCCAGAAAAGAAAGAAAAAAAAAAAAAAAAAAAAAAAAAAAGTGACCGTTAGAAATGGAGAGATGGGTTTCACAGGGCTTACCTTTCTCTTCACCAGAACCCCAATTGATGTTTGAGAAAGCTCAGAGAAACAATGAAGTTAGAGAGAGAGAGAGAGAGTGTGTGTGTGTGTGTGAGAGCTTTGACAGTAACGAAGAGGAAAGTGTTCTGTTTGGAAGAAAAGTAAAGTTGGTTTCAGCTTGCAAAGACCTTGGGAAGATAGATTAATTGAGTAAAATAGTTGGGGAAAAAAATGAAAAGCAAAAGGTTGGTGACACTGCCAATCATATCAATAAAATTCAACAAGATCATAAATAGTCAGTGTATTGGACGGTCAGGATTGCCTCGTGGTGTTGGACCGTTAAGGGAGACAATAGATGATTATAGCGATACTAAATTCATTTTAGAATACAGATTCCTATGAAATATGAATGGAGTGTTTTGACTGTTAATGATCACACCAACATGTGAGATTAAGTTAGATTAACGGTGGAGATCCTTTCCTCAATTAGAGTTGAAATTATCGTGATATTATGAGCATGGAAACGAGAAATTGGAGATAAATTGACATGTGAACTATACTTATCAAAGTAGCCGTTTGTCAGACTGATGAATACACACATGTATAATAGAGACAGACCCACCAGGCTTTTGTATAGTAATAGTAGTACAGTAGTATTACAGTAAACTAGAGTGGGATTCTTTTCGAGGTCGTCTTGAACACAAAATCAAAGGTTGTAGCGTTCCAAACGAAAGAACAAGGTATGGGGAACTTTAGGGTTGGTGAAGAATTTCTGAATAAAAACTTAGGGTTGGTGCTACAAATTTGATAAAACAGACCATCCTCTGGAATATTCTGTGGAGACCACTCTAGAAAACCACCCACATTCTAGAAAGACCAAATAACCCTTCAAAAAAAAAAATAAATAAAAAAGAAAAGAGGCAAAGTTGTGGCCACTATCTCTTTATACATGGTTATAATGGTCAAAGCTTTCCACCATTCTACAGTCTTAAAAAGTGGGTTGTCAACTAAAAATATGATAGCAATTGTCTCGATAATTAGTGAATTAGTAATTTTTTTTTATAGATTTTAGAATATCAGATTTTGACTATTTTCATTTATTATCTAACATCTAACACCTATTGTCTTATAAAATAAAAATTAAAAATATAATGATTCAGGTCATACTAGTAAAAGATTTATCACTCAAAATATGTCTAAATAATCTAAAAATCTTTGAATGTTGTAGGTTTAATTTATGAACTATGATAGCATTGTTGTAACAACTATTCCATGCAACCCAAGGTTAAGGTATTAAGTAAAACATTAGGACCATAATTAATGTTTCATTATTTAAAGTCGAATCCTTTGAAATGTTTTCATTGTCACGAAATCCATTATACAACATGAATCTGAATTATGTATTTCTTATTTTTAATTTGTGATCTCGAGGCCTAAAGATTATCATCTTTGGGCGTCCATATATATGTATAATATTTATGGCATTTTTCTAGCATTCGCCTTGTCGTTTCTGTAGAGGACTTTTGTAATAGCACATGAGAGCGTGACATTGCAAATTTCATTCCAAAGAGTCCCCCACACCTACCCGCCATAAAATACGTGTGTATATATATATATATATATAGACACACACACACATATAGGCTGAGCCATCTATAATTCTCTGTGCTTTACAGCTTCAATTCCTCTTTTTAGGTTTAGCCACCTTTTAATCATCCATCTGTATTTGTCCCACAAGTCCACAACCATGTCGATCTACTGGCACATATATAATTATCAGTCTACATTTTTCTTTTGCCATTTTTTTTTCCCGGTTTTTCCCTGCTTTTTGCAACATCATTTTATTTTTTTATTTATTTTTATTTTTTCTATACAACTTAACTTGTATAGTGCAAACATGACAGATCAAGAAAAAGTGAAGATTTTTCGTCCGACATCAATTAGATGGTGGGATGTGACAAAAAGTAGTGTAAAATGATGGGATTAGCAGATATCGGCCTAAGAATCACTGGTCAAATAAGAAAAAATAAATTTAAACGGTTTGAACATATACAAAGGAGATATTTAAATGCATTTAAGAAGAGAAAAATTAGTTTTCATATACGGTAATAGGCGGGAAGGACAACAGAGAATACCGTAAAATAATTTATTAAAAATTATTTTAAAAAATTAAGTGCATGTTTGGGGGAGCTTCTTGGGGGCTTCCAAACCTAAGAAGCACTTCCAAAAAAAAAAATTTAACTTTTGGTGAAACAAGATAAAAAAATTTTCAACCAACGTTAAAGTCCTAAAAAGTCCAGCAAAGATTGAAAAACGTGCTTTTGAAACTCATTTTTCGTGAAGCGATGCTGATTTTAATTAACAATTTTTAATTACAGTTTTATCCTCATTTTAGAAGGGAAGAACACGGATTTGCAGGAAAAAATTCCTTTGGGATCCCATTGGATCTCAAAGACTCACAGCAAAAGTGTTATAAAATATGCAAACTCTCATAAATAAAAAAAGAAGAAGGTTAAACTCTCTGCAGAATTATGAACAAACTTTCTATCTCTCAATATATATATATATATATATAATAGAAATTTTTTTTTTTTTTTCGTAAGACTTCTCTTTTGTTTAAGGTATAAAAAACTTAGGGTTTAATTACAGCTATATTTAAGAATGAAATTCGGTCTAATACTTCTACTAAATTGTTAAAAATTTCTCTCACCATTTTTATTTTTATTTTTCTTCAACACCTATCGATCCACCTTGATCTTCACTTTGTTAGTGATGGTGAAAGTATCAACAATGGAAGTATGAACAAAATTGACTTGTCAATTAATTGTTATTCTTTTATCTTGTGATTTTCACTCTATCACTTTAATTATTTTTTATAAACTTCACAAAAATAAAAGTTAAATTTTTTGCTTATGCATAATTAAACAGCTGTACTTTAAGATGAAATAAGATTATATTTAGAAACCCTTCATATGATGGTGATGTTTTTATTTGTGGCAGTCTAGCTAGGTTTTTATTTTATTTTTAATCTATAGATTATATGGGGAAAAAATCTCGCTATCTTAGAAAAAGGAATTGAAATATTTTGCGGGTAACAAGTATCCCATTAATCATGTATACAAGTGTCATGACAGCAACAACGTGGTACCATGTCAAGTGTCACTTAGCACCACATATTGTGTTATGATATGTCTATAGAATGCCATGTAGCATCAACATTATGGTACTGAAATGGCATACTATTATTTATCCTTAAAAAGACGAGTATTTTTGCACACTTTGGGCTCCACTTGATATTTTATTTCCGAAGTCGAAATGACATATTATTCTTTTTTTAACTTTTTATATTATTGTGCTGCGAAAATATTTTTGTTAGAAACAAAGAAAGAGCTCAAAGTGAGCTGAGCATGAATCTAGTTTGAGATTGAATGTAAGATCATGAAAGTTGTTGAAAATTTGGTGGAGATGAATTTTCACCTATGATGAAGATAGAGGTACGATTAAAAGTTAACTGGCACTACTGCTGGCACCGCTGTTGATAGTGTCTAACATGGTAACTGACGTGGTATTACTGTTGGCACCGCTACTAACTGTGTTTGACATAGCAATTGTCGTAGCAGGTGACACACTACTGCTGGCACCACTATTGATGTGTCTTGGAGACTGATTGGGCGGCCAAATAGGACTTTTGCTAATTATGAACTTGAGACTGAAGGTTGGGATGCGGAAGCATAAGTTTGAAGGTTGATCGTCACCGAGAATGGAGATTGGGGCTGATGGTGCCATTCAGCGATAAACTAATAGATTATTTACCAAACTTCGAAAGAAACTGATACTATATTAAAAATAAAAAAATAGAAAAATATTATAAGTTTGAAGGTTGATGGCCGTCAAAGATCAGTAGCTGCTGGTTGTGTCTGACATGACAACTGTCGTGACAGGTGACACATTAAATGTCCTATATATAAAAGGGTTGAGGGTACGTGAGTGATGAACAAATAATCTATAGATACTAATATAGTAAATGTAATTATATATGGTAATTTATAGTATGCAAGAAACGTATGTGGTAAGTAAATGAGTAAACTTGTAGTATAAAAATTTTTAAAGAGAATTTTATCATTCATTTAAAAATAAGTGAAGTACAACTGTGCTAGTGTTAAAAGATAGATTTTTCTCACATCGGATTGGATGAGAAATGAAATGGATTACGTGTTAGTTTCACTTAATAGTTTAAAATTTTTGGTCGGATCACGAATCACCCACTTGTTACTACTGAGCTTAAAATCATACTTAATTCTTGATCCGGTGTTAAACCAAGCGTCTAACCTGAATGTGTTTGAATGCGTCACCCCCAGATAGGCAGGTAAACAAAACAAGTTCATGGTATATTCTGGATATTGAGTGATAACTTAGTGTGATTATGTTGAAGACAAACAAATAAATTTCACATTTTAACACCAAAACAATATAGTGAGGGCTCTCCTAAACCTTGCATGTGTAATACCAAATTTTTTTTTTTTTTTTTTTTTCAAAAATTCAAGCAAATGCATACACAACTACTATAGTTTATCTTTATTGGCTTGAGCACCGCAAATGCACATACCCTTACCATATTTTATCTCTAATTGCTCGACTACTCAACCTCTCTTTAAAGCTTATATCATATAGACTTGTACATTTTTGTTCTTTCGTTCTTTTTGAAAGGTTAAGCTAGTAGACTAGTGCCCTTTGATCATGAGTAATAGTATCATTCCTCATTTATGTTTTTTTTGTTTTTTTGTTTTTAAAGAAAACATTAATAAGGGTATGTTTGGATATGGTAGATTTGGAAGGATAAGGAGAAAAAAGAGAAGAAATGATAGTAAGAGTATGTTTTAGTGTTTGGTTGGTAAAAAGTGAGATAAAATAAATGATAGAGTGAGACACGAAGGGATTACTATTCCTCATTTTCTATACCTCAAAAAATGAGATAAAATATAGTGTTCAAGTATTATTTTCATAATTTCAAAATTGTCATCATCAATTAAAATGAGAAAATTATTATTCCACTCATTTTATATCTATTTAAAAGGATATGATTGTAATTTGTTTATTATTATTTCTCTTCTTTTCTCCTTTATATCATAATCAACCAAGAATACTATCATTTCTTTTATTTTCTCTTCTATCTATCCAAACCACTAATACTATATATTTTTTTTTTTTTCTCAACTCGTG